AGTCACTATATGGGTTGAAGCAAGCTCCTCGCGAATGGTTCATTCGGTTCAAGACCTTTTTGCTGTCACTTGGGTTTTCTGGCTCCAAAAGTGACTCCTCACTGCTCATTCTGCATCATGGCAACTCCATCACTTACCTATTGGTTTATGTTGATGACATCATTCTCACCACCAACAACCCTGCCATGCTCCATGCCATCATCACCTCTCTCAAGTCCAAATTCTCCATGTCGGATCTCGGAGAGCTTCACCATTTCTTGGGCGTCAATGTCACACCAAACAGCTCTGGATTATTCTTGTGTCAGCAGCAATATGCCCTTGAGATCCTTGAGCGTGCCAAGATGCCGAACTGCAAACCGGTATCCACTCCCATTGACACCGCCGCAAAGGTTTCTGCTGCCGATGGCCACCCTCTGTCCAACCCAACGTATTACCGCAGCATTGCTGGAGCACTTCAGTACCTCACCCTCACCCGGCCCGACATCTCCTACGCCGTGCAACAGGTGTGTTTGTTCATGCAAGATCCGCGCGACACCCACATGCAGCTGATCAAGCGGATTCTTCAATACTTGCGTGGTACTTCCCACTATGGCCTTCAGTTCTCTCGATCATCCTCTTCGGATCTCGTGGCATATACCGGCGCAGATTGGGCTGGTTGCCCGGACACCCGCAAGTCTATGTCGGGTTTCTGTGTATATCTTGGCTCCAACTTGGTGTCCTGGTCATCCAAACGGCAGCCAACAGTTTCCCGCTCCAGTGCCGAAGCTGAGTATCATGGCGTTGCAAATTGTGTTGCCGAGTCTTGTTGGTGCGCCAACTGTTGGGGAACGTAGTAATTTGAAAAAAATTCCTACGCACACGCAAGATCATGGTGATGCATAGCAATGAGAGGGGAGAGTGTGATCTATGTACCCTTGTAGATCGACAACGGAAGTGTTTGGTTGATGTAGTCGTACGTCTCCACGGCCCGACCGATCAAGCACCGAAACTACGGAACCTCCGAGTTCTAGCACACGTTCAGCTCGGTGACGATCCCCGGGCTCCGATCCAGCAAAGCGTCGGGGAGGAGTTCCATCAGCACGACGGCGTGGTGACGATCTTGATGTTCTACCGTCGCAGGGCTTCGCCTAAGCACCACTACAATATGATCGAGGTGGACTATGGTGGAAGGGGGCACCGCACACGGCTAAGGAACGATCACGAAGATCAACTTGTGTGATCATGGGGTGCCCCTTGCCTCAGTATATAAAGGATGGAGGAGGAGGAGGCCGGCCAAGGCAATTGGTGCGGCCAGGATGTGGAGTCCTACTAGGACTCCAAGTCCTAGTAGGAGTCCACCAAGAGGGGAGGAAGGGAGAAGGAAGTGGAGGAGAAGGAAAGGTGGCCGGCCCCCTTTTCCCTAGTCCAATTCGGACCAGAGGGGAGGGGGGCGCAGCAGCCCCTTGGCCCTTTCTCCTCTTCCCACTAAAGCCCATCAAGGCCCATTGCTTCTCCCGTAACTACCCGGTACTCCGAAAAATACCCGAATCACTCGGAACCTTTCCGATGTTCGAATATAGTCGTCCAATATATCGATCTTTATGTCTCGACCATTTCGAGACTCCTCGTCATGTCCCCGATCTCATCCGGGACTCCGAACTCCTTCGGTACATCAAAACTCATAATATAACTGTCATCGAAACCTTAAGCGTGCGGACCCTACGGGTTCGAGAACGATGTAGACATGACCGAGACATGTCTCCGGTCAATAACCAATAGCAGGACCTGGATGCCCATATTGGCTCCTACATATTCTACGAAGATCTTTTATCGGTGAGACCGCATAACAACATACGTTGTTCCCTTTGTCATCGGTATGTTACTTGCCCGAGATTCGATCGTCGGTATCCAATACCTAGTTCAATCTCGTTACCGGCAAGTCTCTTTACTCGTTCCGTAATACACCATCTCGCAACTAACTCATTAGCTGCAATGCTTGCAAGGCTTAAGTGATGTGCATTACCGAGAGGGCCCAGAGATACCTCTCCGACAATCGGAGTGACAAATCCTAATCTCGAAATACGCCAACCCAACATCTACCTCCGGCAAACGGGAGTTGCATAATCTCATAGTCATAGGAACATGTATAAGTCATGGAGAAAGCAATAGCAACATACTAAACGATCGAGTGCTAAGCTAATGGAATGGGTCATGTCAATCAGATCATTCATCTAATGATGTGATCCCGTTAATCAAATAACAACTCTTTGTCCATGGTTAGGAAACATAACCATCTTTGATTAACAAGCTAGTCAAGTAGAGGCATACTAGTGACACTCTGTTTGTCTATGTATTCACACATGTATTATGTTTCCGGTTAATACAATTCTAGCATGAATAATAAACATTTATCATGATATAAGGAAATAAATAATAACTTTATTATTGCCTCTAGGGCATATTTCCTTCACCAACTTCTCCACGAGCTCCGGTCTCCGCCATCTCGGGCCACTATTGTCTATTGCGACAACATCAGTGCATCTTACCTGGCCAGCAATCCAGTTTAGCACCAACGCACGAAGCATATTGAGATCGACCTACATTTTGTTCGTGACAGAGTAGCTCTGGGAGAAGCTCGTGTCCTGCATGTTCCCTCAAGCTCACAGTTTGCTGATCTTTTCACCAAAGGGTTGCCGTCTGTCGTGTTCGACGAGTTTCGTTCCAACCTGAACGTCCTACCTAATGGAGTTCCGGTTGAGGGGGGGGGGAGTAAAACTGTAACGAGTGTGTATACTGTAGCTCAATGTATATAGGATCTGTAACGCCCTGGCCTGCGTGCCTATTCTCTTGGGCGCCTCTCTCCCTCTCACCTGTATATCAGGCAACCCCATGTAACAGATTCATTCAATGACAGAACAATTCTCTCCAACTCGCCGGCCAAAAGTTTCGGCCGATCCCGCGCGAGCCACTCGAGGCCATCGTACTCCTCGCGCGAGCCCCTTGCCCCCGCCTTATCTTCTTTCTCCGATCCCCTTCTCTCTTTAGTCGCGTCCATGCACGGGGGTGGCCGCACTCCTCGTCTTCCTCCTTCAGATCCCGTTGTCGCCTTGGATGCGCCCGTCACCATGCCCGCTCCCTTCGCCATGGCCGCGCGTGATGAGGCCAAGCATCGGGATGCCTCTGACAAGCAAGTTGTGCTACAACCGGCATCCTAATATGCTACGACCGGTGAGCCAAAATGCTACAACGGGCATAATTTTTTGCTACTACGGACGGTGACCGTGGTGACCACACCTGTAGATGCTGCAACCGCTCTAACTAGATGCTGGAACCGGCATGATTTTTTGCTACTACGGGGCGGTGACCACGGTGACCACGCGCCCACAGATGTTGCAATCCGCTCTCGCTAGATGCTGGATCCGGCAACGAAAAAATGCTGGAACCACGGTGTTCATTTGCTGGAACCGGTGAGGTGATTTGGTACAACTGAAGACGGTAATGTTCAAGACATGCATGACGGCTACAACTGGCGGCGACGGCCATGATGTTCTTTGCTACAACTGTGACCATGTTTTGCTACGACCATAATTGGAAATCGTTGCCACGACGGCAACCGTGTGTTTGCGACCTGCACGGTGAGCTACAACCGGCAGCAGACATCCACAATGTTTTTTGCTACAACTATGTCTGTTTTGCTTCGACCAGTGATGAAAATGTTGCCACGACGGCTGCCATGGTTTTTCCATCAAAGAGGTGTGTTCGTTGAGGCGAGGGGTGGTGGCGCGTGGGTGGCCGTTAGCCGCGGACGAGCGCGAGGTGGCGGCATGGGGTGCGAAGGCGGAGGCGGCGCGGGCTCGATCCTGTGCGGGAGGAAGGAGAGATCCAGATCAAACGGACCTGGTCACTCCAATCGGGCGGCTGCTAGGCAACCAGCCCAAACTTGGGCCGGCGCAGATCAGCACCCTTAAGGAAGGCTCAGGTCATGGAGATGAGCGGGGTATGTAGCCGGAGAGAGTGCCAAAGTTAAAGGAAGAGGGGCTTGGTAAACTGTTTTTTTTTTGCGGGGAGCTTGGATTAGGCTAGTCATAGTGGGAGTAACTTAGCTAGTAACATAGCGCTGTCCAAGAACATTTTGCTTACGTGGCAAGTAGTTAATGAGAAGTGGTAACATAATATGTTACTGTAACATAGCGGTTCCCAAGACAAGATGAGTCTACAAGCTAATAAATAAAGTCATCTATGACACTACTAGTATGTTACTTTGCACTATGAAGGTAGTAACTTAGACTAGTGTCATATGCATGACACTAGTCTAAGTTACTCCCCACTATGACTAGCCTTATAAACTGGCCGCGTACACAACAACACTGGCCCGCGGGAAATTGAAGAGTCAGATTTAATTGATCTACATGAGCAGGTAATTTAGGCATCTGGGCGATGCATGCAGCCACTTTATTAATTATTCACAAAGACCTTATAAAGAAATACATCAGTAAGTCTGAATCCACCGTCTAGTCCGGGACTTATACCACATACCTCGCAACCACGCCTAACATCTAAGACCTGAGACCCTAACCAAGCCACTTGTCGGGTCTAGGGCACACACCGGTCCGGCACGCTCTCAGAGGCCACCACCGCCAACTGCCACCACTCCAACATTAGAGCTGTACTGACGCATCATCCTTGCCCGGTCTAGCTGCCGTCGACGCCACCACGGCGCCCAACGCCACCACCTCCCTACGCACAAACTGCTGAGCACGTCACGGTCTACACATCAGCACCATGCCGCCAAGTACCACCAGCCGACACATCTTGAAGTCTCTGGAAAATCTGTCGTTCGTAGCACCTACCGACCAGGCATGACAAAGCGTAGCACATGTCAGCCAGGCATGACATCTCATGACATCTCCGCCGAAGTTCCGTGCAAGACAAAGCCACTCCACCCCCTACCTCTGACTTCCAGCGCTGCTCCACAAACGATGCTCCCAAGAGAGAAACGATACCGCAATCTGTCTTCAAGACTAATCTTTAAGAAACACAGCTTCATCATCAATGACAACATAATCAACAAGAGCGTCAGCTTTCTTACGAACGTAGGGAATATAACCGTCTGCATCCCTTATCCTGTCCTCCGGGGTAGCAACATACTTGCGGCTACGGGGATTAGCCGCCTGAATCCTCCTCTGTTGTTCGAGACCCAACTCATTGTCTCTTTCCCTCTTGGCGATGAAGTCTTCATCGACCTCGAAGTAGCCCTTGTCCCTCACAGACGCGATGACCTGCTGCCTGTACTCTTCGAAATCATCGTCCATCTTCTTGAAAAGCTTTACGCTGTCGGCGTGGGCACGCTTCCTTTCCTCGATCCACTCCGGAGGGAAATACTCTGCCAGATCGTCCAGGTAATCCGCGCTGGGTTCTTGCTCTAGCTTCAGGGCAATTATGCTCCTAATCTCGGCTTTCGACAGCCGAACCTTGCCCTTGTTTGGACCTGGTGGTGCTGCGGCCGGCTGACTGGCGACGGCGGATGACAGATTCGCCTCCCCAAGCATCTTGTCAATCGCAGCAACCCCCTCCTCTGACTCGTCACCCTCCGTGTAGATGGATCCGGCGGCGGAGGGGAACACCGCCGCAGGACCATCGACGCGGGCCTCCGTCGAATTGGCAGCAGCCCTGCCCGGACTGACCGTCAACTTCCCGGCCTCCTCCTTGCCCGCCATGGCCTCTTCTTGATTGATTGATGGTTCCTCTGCTGCCGACGTAGATCTTGGGTTTCGAGGTTTGTCGCTTGTGCTGGTTTGGGGATTGGATTGGAGGAGGCGGCGGTGCCGTCTCGATCTATATAAACAAGGAAAGGAAGAGGAACCCTAGCCGAGCCGAGCGAGCCCTTCTCTGCTCTGCACCCAGTCGGTATCCGACCCCGTTTACCGCCCGCACTCGGCCGGAACTCGACCACCAGCCCGGCCCAGCGCAGCTCAGTCCACCCACCGATCATGACACGCTGGGCCGGCCCCGGCCACTCCGTCTTTGTCTCCTCTTCCCCTCATTTCCCTTTTTTTTCTTTTTTTTCTTTCCTTCCCAGAAAACAAATGCTTCCTCCATTTATTAAAAAAATTATAAGGTGTGTTAATATTTTTGGAAATCAAAGATTTCTCTGGTTGACCAAATTCATACTGAAAATTATATTATAATAACAAATAAATCTATATCTATACCTCTATATCTATATCTATATCTATATCTATATCTATACCTCTATACCTCTATATCTATATCTATATCTATATCTATATCTATATCTATATCTATATACCTACTAATAAAGCAAGGTGATATTCTTGGTTTCGTCCCGCTGGATGATTTTATCTTCTACTAAAAAGATATACGCGAGGTGGTACTAATTAATTCCGGGACATGTATATCTTATTCGGCGACGTGGATTGCCGAGCGTACACGCCTGGGCTGGAGTGAGGTGTTTGGCGGGATGGGCCAAGTCCGTTCGGCCCATAGCCTGCAAGAGCTCTCACTTTCATCCAATCCAAGCATGACTCCATCTCCTCATAAAATCAAATTAGAGCTCGACTCCAAATTTCGTTCATTGTGTGTCCGTGTGTGTAGGGGACACTCCCATTAGAGAACGACTTATACACCTGGGAAACTGATCCCTAATTTTTGCATATAAGATATAACTACGATACTTAATCGCTGCTACGAGAATAAACACATAGCTAATCCTTTTGATTTCCTCCTCATATCACAGGAACTCGCTGATGCCGCCCACCGCCAGCAAATCCAGGAGCCTGGTCCACTCCATCGACATTGTAGACAGCCAAGCTACTGTCACGCCGTGACAGCACTAACTGTGCCGCAGAAACTCACAAATGCCGTCGGGCGTGCCATCCTCTGGCAGCAAGTCTAGGAACCTGATGCTCTTCCTCGGCCCCACCAACAGCCGGACCATCGTCAATTGTGTCGGCATTAGCCAGTCCAGCATGAACACTGCCGTCCGCTGCTTTGGTCGTAAAGAAAAACGAATCGAGTCCCCACAGCAACGAGGAGGGCAAAGACGCTCCTGTGGGCCCACATGGAGGTGAACGAAGCCGTCGAAGCGGCCAAGGCGCCGCTGCTACAATTGTCGCGACAAAAGTAGGGGCGATCGCATAGATTTAGTTCGTCAACCTCGATTATTATTTGCGATTCTTCGGATCTGTGAGAGGTAGATTGGTTCGCCCTGGTTTTCCCAGGGGATGTTGGCCAATCAGGAATTACTGGGTATCTATATCATTTATTTACTTATGGTGGAAAATTGTTCTGCATAACAGTAGTTCTTGTGCCCCTTAGTGTATTTGTTCACATCTGTGGTCATGTATGCCCCTTGAGAAGATGTGAGTTATCAGCAGCCACGTAGTTCTTAGCTTTTGTTGCATCATTCTTCTGGATAGTGAATAAAATGGCGTACCTTTTAGATTACTTCTTCACCAACTTATGTTCCACCATACAATGATACCATGGAAAAATAGCTATGTATAGTGCCGCTATAAATTTCAACAGGTACGGGTGCATGTATTTTTTTCTGTTTTTTTATCCATTGCAACGCACGGGCCTTTTTGCTAGTAAATTATAAAGATATGTTTCGTGATGCTTCTAATCATACATGTTTGGTATCATATCCATTGATGTTTCCTCTACTTATATAGGTACTACCAGTAAACGTGCCCGTGCGTTGCAACATGCATACATATTCTAGTAAGTTTGGCCATGGTTTATCAGTATAGTATATTCATATGAATTGTCTAATCAAATGTTCACCAAATAAAATCGTGCCCGCGATTTGCCTACCTAAATATGTACACAATCATGGACGCTAGGATTTTATATATGGTAACACACATTTACCAATTATTATAAAATCCAGTTTTATCTGGTAAGTCAATAACCGATTACTATTTGGTAAGTTAATAAAAGTGGGGTAGGTAATGCGGTTTTCAAGGAAAACAGTGGAAAACCTAGAATAGTAGGGAAAACCAAAAACGGCATCATGCTGCCTTTGTATCAAGTTATCCGAATGTTTGGATGAACCTCTATCTCTATTTTTATTTTTGATGTTTCTCTAAAAAGGTGAATAAGAACCTCTTTCTTCCTTCCTTGCCATGTACATGGCTGCGTTATATCATTTTAAAACTATTTTATAGATGAGTAATTAAATGTTCTCAATAAATGACACTACAAAGAATGAAGAGGCTAAACAAAGGAAAACTGGGGAATGGAAGTGGGACATGACCAAAAAAATAAAGAAATATGTAAATGACAAGTCTTCAATAAACAAAATGAGAAAAAAAGGACTAAACAAAGAAGGAGAGAACAACCCATGACTAAATAAAGTGAATGAAATGAAAATTGAGAGAATGAGTTCTCAAAAAGACCGACCAAAGAGTGACTGTGGACTAAGAATATATTTTTCTTCAATGACTAACACGGTAAAAGGTGACACTGGAAGAAAATACTACGAGAACACAGACATTGATTACTCAGAATATCACCAAAGAAAAAGAAATAAAGATAAATAAATAATAAAAATGTACTCTTTTCTTCTATTAATCTACAGACTTGTTGAACTTAATTGCCAGACAAGCAAATGAACAAGTGTATATGAAATGACCTGAGAGATTCTTAGTCTGAAACTGGGTAGTAAGGAGGATGATGGAGATAGCCATATAATGAATGCATGACTTTCCGTTACTCAACTCACCCCTGGACTAAACACTGGAGAAACAAATAGACATGTTGTTTCATCGATAAGTGTGCCTCTGAATCCAAATGCTAAAGGCTAGTTTGAGATGTGGATAAAGGATAATGACAACTAAATGACTTAGAAATGGAAAAAAATTAGGTTCATGCTAAAACTAGGTTGAAGGGAAACACTGAAGAAACTGTAATCCATGCACAGTAGACATTTTGGTTGGTACATTATCAATTTTATTCTGGCTAAGACGAGGAATAATGCCATGGTCAACATTGTAAGGTGAAAAGTGGACATTGTAAACTTAACTACTAGAGTACTAAAGGATTAAGAATAAAATGACATGTACAATTTCCTTGCAGTGGGTTAGCATGTGCTGCATGTCATTGTACAGGTCTAGGACTGGCACCCTCTCCCGATCTCCTCCTGGTCTTTCTCTCTTTCCTCGCCTCTCACGGAGGCCACTGCTGGACAAGGCCGCGAAACGCCTATGATGGAGGTGGCGGGGATCTGGTCCCCGACGGTCTCATGGGTCGTCGGTGTGGGATCCCCCAAGGTTGCAGTGCAATGGAGTATTTGACAAAAAACTACCAGTTTTGGGGTTTGGGTGGTGCCCCACAGAACTACAACATTCAAAATTTTGACCAAAACTACCACTTTTTCGTAATTCGTCCCTAAAAACTATAGCATTTTGTTGATGACCGTTTTCGAGTATTTAAACACGTTTATGACAAGCGGGACCCATCCATCAGGGATGACGTGGAAGGAAATTCAACGACATTTATTTTGACCATTAAGTTGACTGTTATGATAAATGGGGCCCACATGTCAGCATACACCTTCCTCTTCCTCCTCCTCCTCCTCCTCCTCTCTCTCTATTTAGCATTTCAACAAACGCCTACTGTGCATCGGCGGACGACTGCAACAAGGTGACGGTCGCGATGGACTCGGCGTTGAGCAAGGTGACGATGGTGAGGCTCGGCGCCGACCTTGCCGAGGCGCGGGTCGTGTACCAGGACGTGTACGACGTGTCGTAAGCAAAATGAAAAGGCGTATATGAAATGACCTGAGAGATTCTTAGTCTAAAGCCATACAAAATAATCTAACAAACAACAGTGTAGTGCATCATATCAGTGTAGACTGTGCTGTGAGATCATGTGTCAAGGGTTAACTCATAGGAGTTTGGAAACAACATAGTGGTTGTTGCTTGGAATACATGTGACATAAGGGTTCACATGCAAGTTTCAAATAAAAGGGCTCATCACATAAGGAGTATGTGATGTCAAGTTCTGGTTGCCAGATTCTAAAAAGGAATCTAGCAACTAGAGTCATGGTCTATGAATCTTGGATAGCCAAGTTCATGTCCAAGTTTGAATGACAATTCAACTTCTTGACTTTTCATGATCTTGAACACACACTAAGTGTCTAGGTTTCATTTAGGTTCATCAATTTGGTTTGTCTTACAATAAAATTTGAATTTGAATTAGGGTTTACCATCTTTCAATTCAAATTGAATTGAGGTTTGAATTTGAATCCCAATTAAGTTTGAAATAATGAGGCTAGTTCAAGTTCAAAGATATGTCATAATTGACTGATGTTGGTTCGTGAATTCGTTTGCCAAGTATTTAATTTAATTCAGACTAATTAAATGACTTATAAGTTTTGTTAGGTTTGCCTAAATTCAAATTTTACTTGGATTTTCTCTAAATTCAAATCCAAATCCAAATCCAAGATAATTACTAAATTTTATT